TTTTTTTTTTTTTTTTTAGTTCAATATTAAACAGAGAGGGTTGTTTGTGATATTTTAAGCCAGTATCTGTAGTTTCAAAGAATCAAGACTGCAGATTTTTTTCGTAATTAAGATATGGTAATTGTAGAGCTATGACAATTAGAACTGAATTTGGAAGGAATATTTGTCGAGTCCCGGGATATGAATGATGTTTCCTTTATAACAGAGAACAAAGCAGTTGATCTAAAGCCAAAACTGACTAGTCTTGAACTGTGAAAGGAAGTGTTTCACATGATGATTAGAACTGAATTTGGAAGGAATATTTGTCGAGTCCCGGGATATGAATGATGTTTCCTTTATAACAGAGAACAAAGCAGTTGATCTAAAGCCAAAACTGACTAGTCTTGAACTGTGAAAGGAAGAGTTTCACATGATGATTGTAAAATAGGTCCATCAAAAAATGTGAATTTTAGTTATGAATTTCAAATGCCAGATTTCCAGCTCGTTGTCATTATGTCTGTATATATTGGTTATTGTAAATATTATGAAGACACATCGATTTTCTTTTATTCATTTTTTTATTTTATTTTGTTATTTTCAGAAAATTGATTAGAATTTTCCGGCAGGCGGACGAAGGAGGAGCTTCCTGCATAATGAAACCCAACACACTGAGCTCCAGTACATCTGATGTTAGTATACTGTAATATATATATGGACCAAGAAGAAGGCGCATAAAGGAAAAAAAAAAGAAGTTGTTTCTAACTTTGTGACCTTGGCATGGGATGCAGTTTTTTTTAGTGAGTGTCCTTGTTATCATTTTAGTTAGTCTTCTAAATATCATTATTTTTATTGGATCCAAGTGTTTGGCAGAGTGTGTGCTTTTCAACTTACTTCACTTATGCAAACTTCTGTAACTTCTTAATACAGTACTACATTAACATTTGTGTTTCATGTGATGTAATACCTTCTTTTTCAATTGATCTTTTGATTGCCAATTACTGGTATTCATGTGATTTATGATATCTATAATTGTAGGTCAAGAATTTACAGACCATTTTTTTCACCCAATTTTGGAAAGAAATCATTACATTTTTGTATTAATCAAGTCATTATATTTTTTTTTTTATTCTATTACATAATATCTACTACTAACTAATTATAAAAAAAATATATATGGAACTATATATCTACAAAAAATTATATTCTACAACTTTTTTCAAACTTATTTAAAATTATTATTTTTAGCTTATTAAGCATTTTTTTATTTAAATTGCTAATTATTTTGGATGGCATATCCAGACCCAATAAAATACCGTACACAATTGCTATAATAATAATTTTAATATTTTTCTATTTAGTTATTGGTCATAATCATGCAATATTACAAAATTTATATTATCATAATCAATAATATTACAAAATTTATATTATCACAATCAATATTATGATTTATATGTAAGTTAAATAATTTATATTTATATAATTCACTTTTATCAAATTTATATTAGATGCAATATGCTCATTATCCAACTTATTGTTTTAAATATTATATACATATGTAATTTATATTATTTTATTTACGTTTGTGTATGTGTACAAGATTTGGTTCTAAATATTATATATGCATATAACTTATATAATATTATTGTATTTGTGCATGTGCACAACAATGGTACTAGATTTTTTGAAAGTATGATACAATGAAAACTGTCTCCAATAAATTTACTCAACAACTCTTACCATTTTCTATAGTTAGCAACACTAAATTTATAACGTTCCTTGATCGAGAATGTTCAATCGTCTCCGTACAAAGGACCGGTTAGAGTTGCTTGATGTAGATCCAACTTGTCTCTTTGTGGTGATGTTGTTGACTCATCGGGTCACTTATTTTTTGAGTGCCCCTTTAGCTCAGAAATTTGGGCGGTGATTCGAGAGTGGGTTAGTCTCCGTCATAGGCCATTGACACTCAAAGAGGCTCTTAAATGGACTAAGAAGGAGGCTCGAGAGGCTAGTTGGCAAACCAAGTTGAATAAAGCGGCGTTTGCGGCAACGGTGTACTTCATTTGGAATGCGAGAAATAAGTTAATTTTTTAAGGTGAATCTCAACCTCCGAGTCTAGTCATCCGTAAGATCCAACCCATGTTTATTGTACAACTTTTGCATTGTATCCGAACGTCCTTGCCGAATATGAAAGAAAAGCCCTTGGAGTATGATAGGTATCCCCTTGGCAAAGGGCTTTTGAGAGCTAGCAGATGTGGGCCACCTCACGTGCAGGGAAAGACGAGTGTCGAGCCGAGCGTTGCACCGCGACGCGCTTGGGGTTTTTACATTTTTGTTTTGCTTGGGACTTGAGTGAACTCTCCCTCCCCCTGCTCTGGTTAGACACAAAGATATCCCTAGTCTGATCAGCAAGTAGCGTTGTAGGTACCTAGATCACATAACAAAGACTGCTTAATAGAAAGAGAATCAGTAAGAATCGGTAGCGCAAGAAGCACGCTCCCGCCCCAAAAATTCTCATGTCTTTCTTGGCGGTGATTTCAAGAGATCTCAATTACATCGACCCTCAGCTGCTAAAGAGAGAGATCTTCCTCCCCGAAAGCCTATAATATAAGGAAGAACTCTATGTTAAGCAAAAAAGCTAGGCATCCGTTCTGAAAGTGAGATTTCTGAATCAAGATATAGAATAGGGGCAACCTTCTTCCCTAGCAAGAAGGCATACAAAAGATTTTATTTAATTGTCTGCAGTTAATTGGGACATGTGGTTGCCCTCTTAGACTTATGACAAGCGAGTGATGAGTCGTGCATGTGGTTGCCCACTACGTTTTTGTAGACCATTTGTCGGTCGTTCGAATACCAGTTTTGATCTATAAATTTATTTTTACCGATAAAAAAAAAACATTAAAATTAAAAAACCTATTAGTTAAATGCATACACCCTAGACACATTTTGATACATGGTTTCTTATAGTATCATACAAAAATATTTCAAATTATACGGGGAAACAAATTGTGACTTCAATATCCTATAAAAAGCAAAGTAAATAATATTTAGTTAGATATACGTTATGTATAATCAGAAATAAGATAAATAAAAACATATAATTATAAATTTTATTTATCTCCGTCATAAAAAAATGCATTAAACACGAAGCAGGTATAGCTATTAAATGAAAAGAAGTGTGCTCAACTTGTTAAAGTACGAGTTCAGTTTATTCGTTTGATAAGAATGGAAACTACATAGATATCATACATTTAGAGCGATTAGAGCTATTAAATGAAATAAATCAAGTTTGTAGTAATTAAAGTTATTAGATGAAACGGGTGAACTCGTTAAAGTTTGAGCTCAATTCGATTCGATTCATTTATAACGATTAAAACTTAATAATGAAACAAATCACTAATGACTCGACTTGTTAAAGTATGAACTCAATTTGACTAGTTTGACATCAATGTTTGAGAAAGTTAATTTCAAACATGTTCAAAGCCTGTTTAGTTAAACAAGTAGAGTAGAGCACTATTAAGAGCATCTTCAGTGCTGCGCTACAACGCTGCGCTACATCTCTGCACTATTCTAGAGTTATGAACATTATCGCGCTACATCTGATGCGGAACTATTTATTACTCTACAATTTTTATTTGTTTTTTATTTTTTTATTATATGCAATTGATTTATCTTAAAATTTATTATTTGATAAAGTTTTTACCATTAAATTTATAATTTAATATGAGAATTATATAAAAATATATTTTTATGTTGAATTACTATAAAATAAATAAAATATTATATAAAAATAATAATTCTTTGTGAGCAATATTTTGAAGACCAACTAATATCATGATATATTTTATTTTATAAAATAACATGTCTAATTAAATAATATTTTGATATATTAAATAAATTAAAATAATATGAATAATATATGTGGAGTAGAATGTAGCAAGAATAGTTGGAGACCGAATTTTATTTTTGGTTAACTCTACTCTAGAGTAGAATAAATTCTGCATTAGAGTAAGATAAGGACTTGAGGTGGTGTGAGACTCAAATTTATTTTATATTTTTGCTCGCTTAACAAATCAATTTTATTTTATTTTTTTCCTCGCTTAATAAAGATTGATACTCTCTAATCCACAGTCCGCTTTAAAGATAAACATAAGAACAAGGAAAATCCTCCAAGTTCCCAACAATGGAGAACCTCACCGATGAAGCCACCCTTGACAACCACCCTCAGATTGCCCTCATCAACACCTTCTGTGAAATTACCGCCTGCGCCTCCAAAACCGAAGCCCTCTTCTTCCTGGAGTCCCACAACTTCGATCTCGACGCCGCCGTCTCCACTTTCCTCGACGATGCCGGCCCCGCCGCTGTCGATCTGCCTTCTCCAATGGCCCACTCTCAGTCCCAGTCTCACTACTCGCCTTCTGAGTCGCCGCCCCCTTCTCGATCCCGTTCCCCGTCGCCGCCGCCTGCCTCCCGCTCTTACAGTCTCCGGTCCGCCGCTAAACCTAGAGCGGAAGCCTCTGGCTCTGTTGGACAAAAACGTGGCGGCGGAGGTGGCGGTGGAGGTGGGATTAGGACTCTAGCGGATCTGAGCAGGAACCCTAAACACGAGGAGGATTCTGATAGCGATCCTGATTTTGATCCTCAGGAGTATTATACCGGCGGTGAGAAGAGGTAAAATATTTGATCTTTTATTCATCCTTGACTTCAATTTTTATTTTTTGTTTTTACTTTTTTCTGTGTTCAGTGATTGATTGAGTGACGTTCCACTCTCCATAGTCCATACTCCTGTGGTATTGAAGAAGGTCTTTTCTAAGTCTTGTGAGCGGATGTTTTATGAGTGATTATATCCCTGCTTCATTGACTGAAGTTAATTATCTTTTTGGGTTTCTGAATGCTAACCAATGTGTTTTTTTCTGTAATCATGCACTCTTTGTGGTGGGAATTTTTGTTTGAGGAGGACCTAGTGAGATTTTTTTGTTAAACTGATTGCTAGGGTTTAAGAGATTAAAGGTTGGTTCAGGCTGCGGTGTTGTAGCACAAATTCTTAACTCCATTGTATAATATGAGATTGATGTCGATGTTGTCGTGTTGTAATTGTACTTTGTGTCTAAGGTTTTAGGGTTTAAAATAACGATGAACCTTAATGCAATGATTGTTAGTGATGTGGACTCTGCAGCTTGCTGGAAGGAACTCTGGTTTTATAGATCAACCTAAACGAGTTTCAGCTGTTTGGTGCCTTTTAATAAAGTTATGATCAGGTTAACTGCATGTCCTTTTTGTTACCCCTAGAAGATAGCATACTTGATTATGTGAAGACATCAAGTTTTTTGCTGAAATCTATCTGGATTCTTGATTGTATGGGCTCCAATAGGCTCTGATATATATGTTCCAAAGAATATTGTATTAAAGAGATTAATGTGATGTTGATGCCGTGAAACATGATTTATTCGGCAAGAGTTGCCAACATTTCAATGAAATGGCTTAAATTATTAAGTGATAGTTGAGAATACTATGAGTTAATTGTCCAATCTTTGAGAAGTACTGTTGTTTCGTTTGAATCAAAACATTCATCTCAAACTAGTCATGTAATATTTGTCGAACCGTTTATCGACCTACTCGTAGTCAATGTCTTTACAACATAAGCAAATTATTTTGAGGATTGAACACAAGTTTATTATGTACTGAATACCACGTTTTGTGTTATACTTGTATTTATGCTATGATAATTTTTGTTACAGTGGGATGCTTGTTCAGGATCCGTCAAAAGCAACCGACATTGACGAACTATTCAATCAGGCAAGACAGGCAGGGGCTCTAGAAGCATCTGTTGAACATGGTATGCCTTCTTCAAGCTCAAGTAGATTTACAGGGACAGGAAGGCTACTTTCTGGAGAGGTGTCAGCTACCCCTGACCCGCCTCAATCCGTGACTCACACTATTACTTTTTGGAGAAACGGCTTCACGGTTGATGATGGGCCTCTTAGGAGGATTGATGATCCAGAAAACGCATCTTTCATAGAGGTATCAAATCCTTCCCTTTTGCCTTTTCTTTCATTTTTTTTTTTCTTTTTCCCCTAAAGCAAATATGGTTGTCATGTGATGGAGAAAGCTTCTGCTTTGAGATGGTAACTCGGAAATTCTTATATGAAAAAGTTGTATTTATGTGATAATTTTCTGAGTTGGTGACTAACTGAAAATCTTTGGTTGAAGCTTTTCTAGTAGAACCCTTTGACTTATTTTGTAAATACACTGTCGTGCAGAGTATCAGGAACTCCGAGTGGCCAAAAGAACTTGCACCTGCAGATAAGAGGACTTCCGTTCACGTTAACCTTATAAGGAAGGATGAAGACTACAAGGTTAGTCCACACTTAATAATATTTATCTAAGATAGTTACAAAATACCATGAAATTCAGCTTAACCATAAAAAAGGTTCCTTTGTTCATTTAAATTGCAAATACCACCAATGCGTGGTTTCTTTGTTCTACAATTCATTCCATTCCCGTAGTTGCAATTACAATACAGATTCATACGATAACAGGGTATTATGAAGTTAAAAATGGAACTTCCAAGAATGATCATTGTCCCTAAATTAATATATATATATAATCCATTTATCCAGAACAACGCCTTCTCAATTGTTTAATTTTAATTTCCCTTTCTCTTGACTTTCATGTACGTATTTACAGCAACCCAAAAAACCCAAACTTCCCTTCCAAGGAGTCAGAAGAACTTTGGGCAGTTCTAGCGACACAACACCACCACCTACAGAATCCGTAAGTGTCGTCACAACTGTCTTGACTGCGGCCCCCACCCCAACACTGGGTCTCACGGTTGACCAGAACAAACCTTGTACCTCGATTCAGCTAAGGTTGGCAGATGGCACGCGTTTGGTCTCGCGCTTCAACCGCCAGCACACAATTAGAGATATCCGGGGCTTCATAGACGCATCAAGGCCCGGTGGGTCAACGGGCTACCAGCTGCAGACAATGGGTTTCCCTCCCAAGCAGCTGGTCGACTTGGATCAGACGATTGAGGAAGCTGGGATAGCTAATTCGGTCGTGATCCAGAAGTTATAGCTTTATGTGTACTATTATTTCGACGTTAATAATGAATAATATATGACAATTTTCGGGTTGCTTAGAATTTTGTTGAGATGATGAATGTTTCACTGCTGCTTTATGTGTTTATTTATCTATCAGGCAGACCTTTTTTTCTGAGGGGCTTTTGTGTTTCTGTTCATTTCAGTTGCATCTCTTGCGTGATGGCTTTTTCACATTCCATACAAATAGCATTGGTGAAGCTAGGTTCGAGTTAGGGGTGTAAACGAGCCGAGAGGAGCTCGAGCCCTTAACGAACTTGTAATCAAGCTCGAGCTCGGCTAGTTTGTCAATATTAACTAGCCAGACTCAAGCCTTAACGATCCAAATGAACCGAACTATTGAAAAATATATAAAATTCATTTCTCGAGCTTTAACGAGTCTTATCGGCTCGACTTGTTAGCTGAATGAGATTTATATGAGTTCGAGCTCGAGCCTTACGAGTCAAGCCGAACTGAGCTCATGAGAGGCTCGCTCAATTTAACAGCTCTAGGTTTGAACCAAAGGCTAGTTCTATAGGCAGTCTCTTCTATAGTTATGTAGGCAGCCTATACACAAAGCTATTTCAAAACCATCTTTGTCAAATCAGAACTTGATATCTTGAAGTAATAAACAGATAGAAGCAAATACACACCGAGTCTTCTCATATGCACTTCAAGAAAATTACAACCAAACAAAACAATTTGTATAAATGATAGGAAGAATCGACCAAAGTTTTACAATGTAAGGCCTTATTCCTTTAATATTTGACACAGCACACACTATCATTTCTGTTAGAACACACTCTCATGACACTTGAACAAAGTACAGAAAAGAAGATTGTTTTTCTACCTTACAATCATCACATGAAAAATGCAGGTCCATCAAACGACACGGGCCTCAAAGAACGTATCTTGATTTCGTACGATGTGTGCCCCGAAATCCCGTCCCAAGTCTTTGCTGAATTGTGTTTGACCATTGCTTTGAATGGTGACAAACGAGAAGAACAATTGTTCGCATTCCTGGTAAATCCAATATAATTCCCACAATTTCTACATAGCAATTTGGTTCGTTTCTTAAAGATCCTCCACGACGAGGGCTTGTTTGATATCGTCAAATACGGCAGCCACGGGATTTTGTTTATCTGAGTAAACCTGCTCTCGTCAACTGAGAAGAACGAAATAACTCCTCTTTTCATCGACTTTTCGTATTTTGCATCCATGGCTGATATGTTGCGGTTGCACGAGTTCAGGTTTAGTTCGTAACCGCACGACCCACAGCTGGAAACAAAAAGAGAGATAACAAGTAAATGTCTCAGGCACCAACGTAAAAAACAAAGCCCAGAAAAATATGATTCTGCATTGTTAAAAAAGATGTAATCTTTTTGAACCATATACATATATAAATTAGACCAAATATGATACATTATTGAATAAAGAATGAGAAAAATGGAACCTGTAAGAAACATGTGTGCCAAAAGGGTATGAATTTGATGATGGCAAACCCTCATAACTGCTGCAAGGCCTCATCTTTTCTCCTTCCACTGTGTGTAGTGTGTGTATCAGTATCTGATGTGTGTGTTTGTGTATGTGTGTGTCTGTCAGTGTCAGTCTGTGTGTGAACTGTGTGCTTTTGTCTGAGCTAAGAAAAGGTTTGTAACGGTAACTAGCAAGGAAGGATAGCCTGTGAGCAGGTGTAGCTACGCCTCTAGGAAATGGGGATTACAAAAACACACACTTTTCAGCTAGAACTTGACCAAGTTTCTTGAGCAGTGTTTATTAATTTATTTATTTTTATGATTTTTGGTTGTAGTTGATTTAAAAACTAAATAAATAGTTTGGAGAAAAATGTCACTGTTTAATAAATATAGGTTGACTAAATACAGCTAAACTGAAATAAATAAAATAACAATAAAACTTAAAAGTAGGAAAAGTGTAAAAGCACAGCACATTATTGTAGGAGAAGATAATTAATTAGCCAATATTTATAAATATATCAAATTCAAATGGTATGATTAATCTAGTAAATATATTACCTAAATATTTTCAAACAAACACATTAACAACTAGATGAAAATTACAAAAATTATATTTATTTCTTTTGGAAAATGTATTATTAATTCATTACAATTTACATCATTAATTTCAATTTTATTTGTTTCAATGAAATTATAACTATTTAAGGAAGTTTTCTTTTTTAGTGTTCAAAGTAAAATTTTCAAATGTATATACTTACTATTATTTATTACAATTTTTCACTTTTTTTTTAAAGTAATAATAACACATTATTATTATTTTTTTTTTTTTTTTT